ATATATATATATATATATATATATATATATATATATATATATATATATATATATATATATATAAATATATAGTATACATAAATATATATATATATATATATATATATATATATATATATATATATATATATATATATATATATATATATATATATATATATATATATATATATATATATATATATATATATATATATATATATATATATATATATGTTCCGGTTTGTTCGGGTTTTACGTCACGGACACCCTTTTCTACCAAGGGCTAGGCCGGTTACCTTCTTGAAGAAGACTTGTTTTGGCAGGTGTAATTGTTACCCTCAGTGCATCTCCTTGCTAACCTCAGCCCGTGACGGGGCGCGAACCCTCGGCCTGACACCCCAGAGCGGGGACGCTACCGCTTGAGCCACGGTGACTACCTGCACGCATGCATATATATATATATATATATATATATATATATATATATATATATATATATATATATATATATATATATATATATATATATAAATATATATATATATATATATATATATATATATATATATATATATATATATATATATATATATATATATATATATATATATATATATATATATATACATATCTTTCTCCCTGAGCATTTAAAAAGAAAAATCCAACCGCCACCTGTAGTCTTTAACTGCTGTACAATAATAATAATTTGCAATATAAAATTATGAAAAATGTCGCTCTTTCTTAGAAATACTTCACTTTGAGATAAATAAATAGATAGATAAATATACAGATAGATAGACAGATAGATAGACAGATAGATAGATGGATAGATAGATAGATAGATAGATAGATAGATAGATAGATAGAGAGAGAGAGAGAGAGAGAGAGAGAGAGAGAGAGAGAGAGAGAGAGAGAGAGAGAGAGAGAGAGAGAGAGAGAGAGATAATGGAAAGAGGATAAACACGGATAAATAGGGATAAATAGGCTTTGGGAAGAACAGCTGCGTTCTCTCCAATTTCCATTATTTTCGGAATTTTTCCCTCCAATTTTCTAAATAAATCTTTCCAATGAATATTTAAAAGGCGTTTCAGCAGATGGAGGTTTGTAACTAAACAAATAAACTTCTCTCTCTATAAACTAAGAAGAATAAATAAACTTCAACAGGAATGGAACGAAATATGTTAGGTATAATCAAAAACACAGTCTCGGTTACACACACACACACACACACACACACACACACACACACACACACACACACACACACACACACACATATATATATATATATATATATATATATATATATATATATATATATATATATATATATCTCTTTTGATACTTTACACATTTTTAACATGCTGTCCTCGAACTTTGTGTAAAATTAACATTCTTCGCTGATGCTAGCAATATATATATATATATATATATATATATATATATATATATATATATATATATATATATATATATATATATATATATATATATATATATATGTATATATATATATATATATATATATATATATATATATATATATATATATATATATATATATATATATATATATATATATATATATATATATATATATATATATATGCAAAATAAACTGTTATATCACAGCACAATATGAAGCATATATATATATATATTATATATATATATATATATATATATATATATATATATATATATATATATATATATATATATATATATATATATATATATGAATAATTTTCTTTTTCACCCTTACCGGGACTTGAACCTAGAACTTATAATTACTAAGTCAGGCGCTACCAGCTACACCACAGAAGGTTAAAAAGAGTCAGACCTTATAGCTTATATCTGCTATACTTAGGAATGAACGCATTCTATCTGAATGCCACAGTGTTCATATTACAGATTCCCCAACCTCACACGTGGCTTCATTTTCGTATTTAATTCAACTCCCAAATATATAATATATATATATATATATATATATATATATATATATATATATATATATATATATATATATGTGTGTGTGTGTGTGTGTGTGTGTGTGTGTGTGTGTGTGTGTGTGTGTGTGTGTGTGTGTGTGGTGTGTGTGTGTGTATACCTAAGTGCACGTGTTCACATAAAAGTGTGACATACACATAAAATAAGAAATGAATGTCATTACTCGTACGGACAGTTCTTTACTCGTATAATACGGAAAATACAGACTGTAGACGACAAACGGCGTATCTGGAAATTATGTTTGCATTACATTCTACTCTCTCTCTCTCTCTCTCTCTCTCTCTCTCTCTCTCTCTCTCTCTCTCTCTCTCTCTCTCTCTCTCTCTCTCTCTCTCTTTCAAGCTATCCCTTTTGAAAATATGTATAAGGTGTCGTCTGACCATTGCACTATACATAAATATGAGATGTACAGTCACTAATTGCTATCTATGTAATATTTAGGAATAGGGGAGATATATCTATACTGTATAGGGTATATACTTGGCACAGGGGACCGACGAGAGAG